ACATACAAAATTATTATCCTGAGCATATGTTTTGTAGAAATTCATGAAATCCACTACACAAGTTTGATATGAAGAAGAAAATATTACAGCAATATATACGCATTGTAGTTTATGCAAGTGCAGGAATATTACTCACTACATTTTGAACAGAAAAAACAGAAAGAGATGATAATTAGACAGCCACCTTATGTCTCTAAATATATCAGAGAGGGCTTAATGATGCTGAACACAATGGGTTGTGCTCTTTAATGCTGGATAATTGTTTAATTTTGAGTCAAAGACATTGTCTTCAGGTGATGATGTGAACATTTGATAATCTCTACTTTGTATTAACAGGTTATATACAAACTATATGGACATTGACGTATAGCCATGTTATAGGTTTTCAACTTTGTGCAGAATATGTCATACATATTTATACATGGATTGTTTTTATGCTAATTATCCCACAGCATGATATTGTTGTGCTATGTTGGCATTGTTTTTAGCAAAGGTTTTATTCAAAGGTGTTTGTAGACTTATAACCATGCTCAACCTTTTTCATGATATTAACGTTCTGAAGTACGGGTGCTATATAATATCATTTAAAACAAAAAATCAGATTATTGGAAACACGTTTTAGTAATTGCATTTAGAATTGCGTTTAGAATTGCATGTGCAGATTTCAACTCAAATACAAGAGAAATGTAATGTATCTAAGTCTCATGACTTGATAAAAGTAAGAATGTCATATTATTTATTGTACATTATAAAACTTGGTTGATTAAACCATAGGTTGAGAACTGAGATTTCTGGATATACAACTATATGTATATTGACTAGGATTGGTATTTAGTGATATGAGCTATGTTGTGTCATGATCTTCTGATATCATGTAATGGTTGATAAGATGAAGAATGTTATGTTTGACTTTAAAGGTTTACCTTGATAAAGCTTAAATGATAATTTATGTGCAGTAAAAATTGAAACAGTTTGTTCCAAACATTTTCATGAGATATGTAGTAATTGAGTGATTTGTGTATGTCGTACTGTTTTATAAGTATTTATCTAGGAATGTGAGAAGGAAGCTCAGTACCTAGGAATTATTTTTGAAAAGAATATTTTTGTTTATGGTAAAAGTTGTCATGATGACTTTCAATAAGATGATGACTTTAAATAGGAAGAATAGATTTTATTGACAAAAATTAAGGAACATCCAAAGACATAAAAGAGGGAGAACGAGAGCCAGAGGCTGAAAATGGGGAGGGTGAAAGAGTAGAGAAAAGGATCGAGAGACAGAGCAAGAGAAAAAGAGGGAGGCAGAGCAAGAGAGGGAGAGGGTGAAAGAGTAGAAAGAGAGATACAGAAATAGAGCAAGAGAAGGGAAGGGAAACAAAGCAGTAGAAAGGAGAAAGAATTAAGCGAGATGTGAGTAGATAGATATATAGAAAGAGAAATGTATTGACATGTAAACAATTCTTTGTCCGTGGGAGCTAGAGACGTAAACATTGCGTATACATGGGGTGAATAACTGGCAATAACTCATCGTAGATAAAATTGTCATTTTATGTATTAATGCTTTTATAATTAACGCAGTCATGACAGGGAACATGGAAATTGTGAGTATTTTGAGAGCTGTTCTAAAGAATAAAGCTGATATTTTTTGCAACGAGAATATATTTTTGACGAGCCGAAGGCGTACAATCGCCGGGTTAGAGTTATGGTTAGGTTAGGGGTGGGTGTTTATAAAAGCATATTTAATACATAAAATGACAAATTTATCTAAGATGAGGGATTTTAGATCATGAAATCATGAGGAGAAAAAAAGTTGGTCGAGCTGTCCCCCGAAGAACCCCACCCTGGACAACTCGACCTGGTGTCCAGGGGCTTTGCGTCGGTGTTGTCTAGAATTCCAACTTACTCCACATAGACATTACACGTAAACGAAAAATAGGATTTTCAATTCACATCTTGTCGTTGGAATATCGCCATGATCCCAACATCTGATTTATAGAAAAAAAATGTGACCTTAAGTGTAGAGAATTTTCTCAGCTACAACATATTCGAAGCTTGCAGAAAATCGAGAAAAAATAATCGAGATATTGCTCAAACAAGACTAGAATGTCCTAATGCAGATTTCAGAAAAAGTCACCTCCAATAGGCATGACACGCAAACTAAGAAAATTCTGACATGTCGCATTCAATCAAAATTGTCACTGTGATGACGTCATCAAAGTGAAACATGGTGAGATATAAGGAGACGGAAGGAGACTGGGTAGTCATGTAAAAATACATGAGATGGACCGAGGGATGAAAGAGAAATCAGAATGCATATAGGCTACTTGGAAGGGGTGAAAAAAGAATACAAAGGGCAAAGGAAAGAGGTAAAGGAAATTAAGGAACATCCTATACGACATAAGAGGGAGAACGGGAGCCAAAGGCGGGAAAAGGAGAGCTGGCCGGTGAAAGAGTAGAGACAGATCGAGGGAGACATCAGCTAGAGCAGATCAAGAGGGAGGCAGAGCAAGAGAGGGAGAGGGTGAAAGCGTAGAGAGAGATCGAGATATAGTAGTCGAAAAAGATGATAAAATCACTGATAAGAAACGAAAGCAAATTTTTAAAAAAATTACACCGGAATGGAAGTCGAGTGCTTTAACCAATATACCAAAATATGTCCCTTAGACAATACATGTAAAGCTGACAAACGGCCTTGGCATAGTCGCTATTTCAACTTTCAATTGAAAATTTCGACATGATTTCAACATCAGATCAAAAAACGGAAGGCACACTTAAGATAGCTCATATTATCAGCTATAACATGCTTAAATTGTGGGGGAAATAGACCAAAAAACGATGAAGATATTGCTCGCGAAAGAGGGGAATATTGAATCCAGTTTTGAAAAAAAAAGTCATATAAAAATGTGAAAAATTGACAGGCCTCCTTTAATCGCAAAAATACGCCATGATTCCTTTGTCAAAATGAAATATCGTGTCGACTGCATTTGTAGAGAATTATCTCAGCTAGAACATATTAAAATTAGGAAGAAAATCAATTAATTTTTACAGAGATACAATCGATTTTCAAAAATATGCTGACGTCATAATATGCAAATTGAAATTTTGAGTTCGGATGACGTCATGAGTTAATTGAGAGTCAAATAAGACATGAAATCATATCTCCGTTTCATACTCTATCAAAATATGGAAAAAAAACTGATCTTGAGTTATCCTGTTAACAAAAAAGTGTGCAAATAAATAAAAATAAAGAACAAAAATAAACTACTTGATCATGATCATGATTGTCATGATGATGATAATGATAACCATGATGATGATCATGAGCGTGATCCTGACATCTGATTGAAAAAATGAGGGGACATTTAGATAGCATATAGGCTCAGCTACAACATACACAAAAATCAACAAAAACCAAGCCGAAATAACGGCGATATTGCTCGCAAAAGATAAGAATGTAGAATCCAGATTTGAGAAAAAGTCATCTCCCATAAGGATTACACGCAAAAAGTAATGGATCAAGTGATAACAGGGTAATAATAAAGTAAATATGGTTGTTTATTACATTATTTGCGATTGTACGTGTTTTAATATTCAAAGGAGATGGTAGAGTGAAAGGTCAAAAAGAAAAAAAAGTGAAGAAAAAAAAATTGTTGGAGACGCCCGGACTCGAACCAGGGACCTCGAGGTCGGAAGTCAAGTGCCTTACTGATATACCAAAACATTTCCCATAGAGATTACACGTAAACGGAAAATAGAATTTACAAATCCCACTTTGTAAGTGAAATATGAGCATGATCCCGGCATCTGACCAAAAAATAAAGGGCACACTTATGATAGCTTATTGTCTCAGCTACAACATACTCAAAGCTCAGCGAAAACAAAGCTAAAAAAACGGAGATATTGCTCGCAAAAGACAGGATGTAGAATCCAGTTTTGAGAAAAAGTCATGTCCCATAGAGAATACACGCAAAATGTGAAAAATTGACATGCCACCTTTAATCGCAAAAATACGCCATGATACCTTTGTCAAAATGAAATATTGTGGCAACTGCATTTGTAGAAAATTGTCTCAGCTAGATCATATCAAAATTTGGAAGAAAATCAATCAATATTTACAGAGATACAGTCAATTTTCCAGAAAAATACTGACGTCATAATATGCAAATTGAAATTTTGAGTTGGGAGGCCATTATGATGACGTCATGAGTTAATTGAGGGTCAAATGAGACATGAAATCATATTTCCAATTCATACTCTATCAAAATATGGAGAAAAAAATTGGGTTCACTTTGCATCCTAAAGCGCTACAATGGATTTTGTATGGCATGTTTTTGCCCATGTATGCTATGTATTACAAGAGCTCGCACGCACGGAAATTATCTTAAACGGACGCTCATTCCGTTATTAATGGTCAGAAAAAGGTGAACAAGGTATCAAAATGCTTGGAAAAATGTGTCAAATATGATGACAGAAAAAAATTGGCGATTCTATGTAGGAAAAAGCAATTACGCGCGAAAACGCGCGCGCATGTGCGTGCGCGCGTTTTTTGCAAAATGCTTAAAATGGCCTGAAACGTATGCAAAAAAAATTTGAGACGATTTGGAGCATTTTTATTTTTTGCGCGCGCGGTGACGCGCGGACGTACGCATGCGCGCGCGTTTTCTGACCTGAAATTGACCGGACAGATATTGACCTTAATCGTGATAAATATGAATGAGAAATGCCTTTCCGTTATGAAGATATGATCATGAGTAAAAAGTACCAAAAAAAACACAAAATGGCGCCTGGATGACGTCATGAAAACTTGATGACCTTGAAAATGTTACTCTAACGTCTCATGACAATGACCTACGACTGTGCCAAAATTGAACGAAATTGACTAAACTGATCTTGAGTTATCCTGTTAACAAAAAAGTGTGAAAATAAATAAAAATAAATAATAATAATAATAAAGAAAGAAAATTCTGACGAAAACAATAGGTGATCTGTCGTTGACAGACCACCTAATGATAACCTGGTTTGGTCTGTAGAAATGGTGAGTAGAAGCTGACAGAAAGACGGTCTGTCTCAGTTCCACTCGAGAATGACAGCGGTCGGTAAGGTTTGGCGCTAGCTTCTCCCTCTGTCGCGTTGTCTGTCAATCATAGAATAACAAGAGGAATTCAAGGCGTTATTTGGGACTTTTAGATTTGCACAACGGAGAACGTGGACCGGCCTTTTAAGGCAATGTGACGTCCTTTTAAGGCACTGGCAGTGACGTCACATTGCCTTAAACGGGCAGTCCACGTTCTACGTCGTGCAAATCTAAAAGTTCCTAGTATCTGCTGACGTACGACTGTGTCGACGAAATTCTCTTTCTTTATCGCACCATTTTGTGAGAGTGATGTCGGACATCAAATGAATACAACATATATATAGGCAAATAAACAATAAATAAAGTAATAAATAAAGTAAATAAATGAATATTAAATAGATCAATAAATGAATAAATAGATAAAATGAATAAACGAATGGATAAAATAGCTTAATAATAAAAGAAAGAATAACAAAAATACTTAAATATATAGATAAATCATTCCGAAGTGTAACACATGATATATTTCATTTGCCTCTATTAAGCAATCATCAATACGGCATCAATAGAACTTGCATGTCACCCAAAATGAAACCACCCATGTTTATCCAAAACCCGATATTGGCTGGTGTTGTCTTCAACAATGAACACGAGGAGTTAATTGTGATAAATTTAACAATTATACATTGTGTGAATGCAATAGATGACATGAATTTGATTGAGATGCTTTACCATAAAGTGTCTCTATTGAATTTCTTTTACTTACTCGGGAAAATGTATAAATTGCCTATTGAAAGGGAAATGTGAATACGAATGAGATGGCGATACAATAATCCTAATTGAACTCTGGTTTGAATTAATTGGTAATCTGAAGGTACTTTGTTTGAGCAGCGTGTATTTCTCTTTAGTCTGTAACAAAGTTAATGGAACAAACAACGTCTGCCATGGATACTCTCATGAATAATTAATGAGCGTACATCATTTTTCCATTGTTGAATAGACACAAAAAGAAACGATATTTTATGGGGTCAATTATTCGAGATCCATCATCACTGATTAGTATGGATACAATGGAGTCAATTTTGACATCGGAGAGAGCTACTTTGAACAGTATTGCAACAACATTAAAGAGAAACGAACCATTTGAATTGAAAAGCACATCGCCTAATTTGAAATTAAATGTTTGCTTCCTCTTCAAATAACTCCTGGGAGGGGGGCGTAGGGGGCTCGAGTTTTTTGTTTCGTTTTCTGTGTGTGCTTGGCTTTAATTCATTTATTGTTTGGAGGGGGGGGTGGGGGCTTGTTTTTTTAAGATGTCGGGCTTGTGTACCAAAGCGCCCCTTTTGAACGGCTTCTGCACTTCTGGTAATACAGCTTTAACACCTTGAGAATGGACAATATAATGCTCTCTGACATTTTTTTGCCGATGTAGTGCATGTAAAAATTAGTTAGAATAAACAAAACACTTTGTTTGAAATTGTCCCAATAGCGTTTTTATGTACCAAATAACAATGACCCCCTCTTTTTCATTATTTTGAAAAATGTGGACACGCCATTAGGGATAAAATGTACGTGGCCTTATACTGCCGTTTTTCTGTCAACTATTTATTTGTAATTTTTCTTTCTCTTACCGAAGCAAGCGGTGAGAATCACCTCCAGAGGTTTCTGTGTGACAGTCATATTATGCTTCTCGGTGGTTTGTGTTCCATCGGTCAGTGTTTGTGACGTCATTGTGTGTTGAGTCGACGGTTGCGGCTGCGTGGTATCGGGTATCAGCTCATCCGTTGTTGGTACTGAATAACATTGGATCAACAGTGTGAAAATAGTGGACAGTGTTACCAAAGTGTTATCGCAGTATAAACATTGTGTAACCACAGTGGAAACACAATGTGAAACCAGTATAACCACTGTATTTAGAAGAAAAAAAATTAACGACAGCGGGAGCAAAGTTTGACCAAGGTGTTAACACAGTATGATCTCATTGTAAACCACACTGGAAGCTCTGTATGAACACAGTGCTAAATTTTGGATACACATGTTGACCACAGTATGAATAACCGCAATATTACCACACTGTTAACACACTATTACCACTTTGTATTCACACTCATACTGAATGTAATGTGGCCACAGTATGACCTCTGTGTAAACATAGTGTGATCAGCGTGACCACAGTGTGAACACATTACATCCAAAATAAGACCAGTTTTACTACAAACGGGACACTATGAGCCCATAACGTGACCACATTGTTTTTAGGTTATCAACCCCGAATAAATGTTTCATATCCGAAGTGTGGTGTACATGTCACAAAGTGTCACAGCATTTTTACATCACTGAAAATCGTTCAATATAATGTCAAACAGTGTTAAAGGTGTTCCAGCATGCATTTCATTTCTATTGTTGATGACTGATATCATTGTCTAAAGCGAAGTGAAAGAAAGTAATACAGAGGATCTACAGCTATATGTCAAAGACAATACAGAATATTTGATTGTACAAATATTGCTTTTAACTTACATTATATCAATTTTGAAATAGAATTGTTTGGAAAAATAGTTCTCACCAGTTAGTGTGGCCGCCTCCGTGGAAGAGCCTTCCGTTGTTTTGGGATTGGTCTGTAGCTGAAAATTAAAAGATTGTAGTATACCTCAGTCTCACCGAAAAAACCGACTCCACACCAGCTACAAACTGACAGATTCGTGACCATTCGGGGGTAATGCTCTGACTATTTGTATTTCATTATATCGTATCTTGTGCATCTTTGTGCGTCCTATTTGTATGTAAATGTATTGTATCTTGTGCATCCTTTCCATCATTCTAACACTTAATAATATTTAAATAAAATATTATAATTGATAGAATATTTTAAAAGGCTTTTTTTTTTTTACTCACCAGTGTTGTGAGCTGTTCATTGCCGTTGCCTTGGTTGTAATAGAAAAAGAAAGAAGATTAAATTTATAACGCGTACATAATTAACATGATAAAAGGGTGCAAATACGAAGCACTTCCAATTTACAAATTGTTCATGTTTCACTTCAAAATGATAATTATAAATAGTTTTAGAGCAGACTAGAAATATGCATGTGTCTCTTGGTTATTCTTAATTACTTGCATAAGAGGCTCTCAACAATATTTCTCATCCTTGTAGCGATGGTCACGTGACAGTTTATTAACCAATAACACATCAGTATCGATATAGAAAATTTAATATTTTAGAATATGATATGATTATGATTTTAAAACGAAAATTATAAGGCACATGGCTTTTAACGAAATTTTAAACGCTGGGTGCGCATGCTCAGATATGTTTTACAGTCGGAATAGCTTGCTGAGCATCTAAAAACTAACCACCACAAATTATGACGGAAAGAGAGAGAGAGAGAGAGAAAGGCGATTGAATTCTTAGGCCACAAATAAGTAGCAATGAATATAATGTATTACTGAGTATATCAACATTATTTTCATACATTATACCACGTAAACACGGGAGGATATAGGTATTAGTCAATACGATTTTCTTTACGGGTTAAGCATGATTATAGAACATACACATGCGACAATGAACTGAATATATATACATTATAGTTTCACAAAATCTTTTGTATTAATATGAACAAGGTACCAAGGATATATAATGTAAATAATAGAGTTTTAGATAATTATACGAGGTTAAAATGATAAATAAATAGTTGCTTACATTAAATGAAAGTGAGATACGATGCATTATAAAATGCAGGAAATATATATGATGCTCGCTTTGGAGACTATAAACCGAATACTTGTGATTGACAATTGAGAGAAATTGTATTTTGTAAAAGATCAATTAGCCCTTTCGCGCCAATCATTCCATATTTTGTGTTTTGGCTCTATTACTTTTGATTCAGAGCCTTAAGAAATCACTTTTTCCACACACTGTATACACTTTTGTTTCAAGACTATATTGAGCAGTATACTGTTACAAACTTACATAGATATCCAACATCAATCCATTTTATTTTGTTCTCAGTACAGTTGCTGGGGCGATCACCCCAACAGCCCACATTGCATTTCCGTTTTCCGTTGCAGCGGTCAATGAAGAGAGATGTTCGGTTCCAAAGGCAATGTGGCCAATGTTCGCCATCGTTGCAGTTCTCGAGGAACGTGCAGTATCCCCATAATATCTGAATTTCTTCGCCAGAATCGCACTCAATATGCTTGGTCTCTGTTATACAACTCTGAAAGACGTTAACGTCTAAAGATAGATATAAACATACAGATATAGATATTAACGCAATCATGAAGCGTACCCTTCTCCTCCCAATACAAACTATATACAGTGCGTCCCAGAAAAAAACGAAACCGAGAATTATCGATGTTTTATCATAACTTAGTCACATTTATAATTACTAAATGACACATATTTGGAAAGCGTAGATCCTCATCTTTCATTTGATGCAACTCATATAATGCATATTTCATGCATGAGTGATTAAATTGAATTTGAAGAGAGGAAACCAAAAAGTCATTTGGCGGACGGTATCTGAATTTCAAGGAGAAAATCACATTTCTAAAAAGTTGAGGTTCTGCCCTTTCATATGACACCTCAATCAGGAAAAATGAGCAAGGAATGACAAAATTCTGTTTGTTTAAAGTAGTGCTTGCATTTCCATAATTTTATCAAACGAATTCGTTTTCACTGGGTGCCTGCCATAACAACATGCATAATTGACATCAGACTAAACTCATTTTTGTTGACAATCAGCCGTGCGTGAAGTCTTTCGTCTACGGCTGATTGTCAACGAAATGGAGTTAAGTCTTTTGTCAACTCTGTTTGTTGCTACGGCAGGCACCCAATGAAAACGAATTCGTTTGATAAAATTATGGAAATGCAAGCACTACTTTAAACAAACAGAACTTTGTCATTCCTTGCTCATTTTTCCTGATTGAGGTGTCATATGAAAGGGCAAAGACTCAACTTTCTAGAAATGTGATTTTCCCCTTGAAATTCAGATACTGTCCGCCAAATGACTTTTTGGTTTCCTCTCTTCAAATTCATTTCAATCACTCATGCGTGAAATATGTATTATATGAGGTGCATCAAATGAAAGAGGAGGATTTAAGCTTTCCAAATATGTGTCATTTATCAATTATAAATGTGATTAAGTTATGAAAAAACATCGATAATTCTCGGTTACGTTTTTTCTGGGACGCACTGTTTATTATATTGTGCTCTGTATGTTAGATGTTCAACGTCACTATATTTATCCAATATATTGGTTCCAAATAATACTTCTATAAGAAATGTTTCAAGATTTATTACACTCTTAAGAAGACTTTTGAGTACACCAGTCCCTATGTGAATGTTTAGCGGTGCGTTAGCATGTGCGGACAGGGGGAGTCTGAGGGGGGGGGGCGTAAATTGGTGTGGGGTCCAAGGGGCCCGTCGCCCCACGTGTATCAGCGTCTGTATCTCAGGGTCCCGTTTAATAAGCAGTAATGCGTCTGATTCAAGTCGATCGCAACTTGAAACCAATCACAAATCTGTACTAATTAGAGATAGGTGATTGTAAGTTTGCGATTGATCGTATGCCATGCTTGCCATCAATCAAGAGGTGACCGGACATTTGCTCCTGCGACAATTTCGTGAGGTTTAAAGGTTTTTGAAGATGTATAGGATTAGGTTTAACGTTGCAATTTGGTTTTTATGTTTAGGGTTAGGATTAGGCTCGTTCAGATATGATGCTTGAAACCGCCGGAAAAAACAATAATAATCATATACAGCCGCGTTTTTTTTTCTTTGCGTAGAAGTGAGTGGGAACTGCGCGCAACAATGGTCCTCCACGTATTTAGTGAGCTCTGTGTTATAAGATAGAGCATTGTGAAGTTTACACCGCTTTGTGTCATATAAAACCCTTGGTTTATTAATTGCGGCATATCTGAACACGGAATGTTAGGGTGTCATAGTCTAGCGGATCCGTCGTCAGATTATGGATCACATGGTTCGCGGTTCGAGACCCGTCGCGGCACTCATGTCCTTCGGCAAGACATAAATCTACATTTGCCTCTCTCCATTAGTCCACCCATGTGTTAAATGGGTACCGGTAGAAAGGAATTCCCCGAATACTATGAGCACTGAATCAGGGTAGGGTTTAGGTTTTTATATACATTTTTTTTTTAAATACGTAATCACACAACCCCCCCCCCCCCCCTACTGAGCGAGAAATTGGTCGGCGCGATTTTCACATTTTCGGAGTCAAATACGAAAAATAAATATGCTCACTACCCCCCACCCCCCATCGGCAAATCTTGGACCCTCGAAGCTTCGGTTAGTGTAGCAATGGTCACTGGAGCAAGTTTGCTACATCCCTATGCAACTCTTTATAAGACAGGGCCCTGATTTTACAGTACATAAACTCAAACTTTAAACATCACCACTGAACATTGAACATGTCAAAGGCCAAGTTATATTAGTACACATTATATCAGTGTAAAGGATAATAGTGATGGTAATGATATAAGAAAGGGATAGTGCTAGTAATGGTATACCTAAAAATAATAATAACCAATTTATGGGATGTGCAATAATGTGCATTGCAATCGGTCTTCAGTGAGACATTATTTTATGACACACTAACGTAAATCTAATGTGCACAGTGCGTTATATGGAGTTATTGAGTTTAGTAGCCGTTGCCATTAAATGCTATCACGTTATCAGACGAAATTAATGAGGAACATACATGTATAATCAACTATACTATTATACTGCAATTACCTATATAGTAATCGTGCTATATTAAGTGCATAACACAGCTGAAAATGAATAACACTGTTAAATATTAAAGTTCTTCCTTTTCTGAGAGCATTGTTGGAAAGAGAAACATAAACAATTGTTTACTAATATCCACTCAAGTATTTTAACGACTTAGAAAAAAGAAGGAATACCAAGAACAAAAGAGTTATGGTACATCCCTATCTGGCTTGTCATAAGAGTATGATAAATATATTTGAAGAAATCAAATGAAAAAGAAAGGAAAAAAAAGAGGAAATATGTCTTACCTGATGGTATTGTGGTAGGAGCCTGGAAAACAAAACTAAAATACATCAATAAACTGATAAAATGAATAATTAGATAACAAGCAAATAGCATAAATATATGAGAAAACATTAGATACTCTCGCCATCAACAGGTGAATATGTTTAAGCGTTATAGATGCCTTCTTTGATATTATTTTCGTTATGATCCCTAAATCATATGTTTCATCCACCGTATACAAGGAAAAGAAATATTAAAGGGAAAAGCTGGATCGGTCAAGCAATGAAATTCGGAGAAAGGAAGAGAGAAATCAAAATAGAGGAGAGAATTAGAGAGAGAAAAGGAGAGACTGAGAGGGAAAGAGAAAGAGAGAACGAGAGAGAAAGTGAAGAAGGAAGCGGGTGTGTGTGTGTGTGTGTGAGAGAGAGAGAGAAAGAGAGAAAGAGAACATGTGTGTGTTTGTTTGTGTGAAAGAGAGAAGGAGGGAGAGAGAAGAAGAGGAAGAAAAAGAAGGAGTATTTACCTCCTGATTTAATTCAGTATCCAATGCTGCAGTAGTCTGTTGTACTGGAGGCTCCCCGGTTCCAGCCCACACGCCTACGTATAACCCAGACATCAGAAATAGCTGTGATTACTTAAACAATATGATTCAGAGACGAGCTGAGTGATTGTTAGGATTCAACCTTTCCCCTCCATACAACCCGCTTATTGTTATGTAGATTAAAGAATTTGGTTGAATGCATTCGGTAGTTAGGCTCCACTGTACTCTACATAGCTCCAACAGGTGATGCATAGCTATAGTGGGTGGGTTGCCTTACCTTGCAGTGTAGTGTCACTATTTGCACACAAGTCATACAGGGAGGACCTATGGGTTGGAGGTGAATGAATGTTGTTTCATAGCTCAAAAACATGGCATTTTGCGCTGCAAGTATAAGTTCCATAGAGAGTCAAGATCACCAGAACCGACATTGAGGCCTGCCCCGATTTTCTGCATTTCAATCAACCAGTCAAACTGTAAGTTTAATCCAAGTTTAATCAATATTTGTATTCCTTTTTATAATGATACATTGGGCGTGTTTATTTGTCATTGAGACAGTCAAGGTCACAAGTGAACCTTTGAATTAGGGATAAATAATGAAGACTGCGAATCATTTCTCTAAAGTAATAATGTAACTCTTTATACATTATTTTGTTCATTTCTGAATAATAAATGAAAGTACATGTTCGCAGGATTTGCACTCAGTAATTCAGGCTCTTTCGAATGTTGAAAGGATATTTGTAATGCAATGTAAATCATGATAGAAGCCTTTTCTGTAATGTATTTTATTGTATTGCCTGATGATGATTATAGTCTCGTTAAAAGATATTAAGTAGATGATGAATAATTTGGTATTATTCCGTAGACTATTAATAGCCTGGGTTAACATTAATTTTTAGATGATGTTCTGGCTAGGACTTACAGAGCAAGTCCTCTATCCAAGTTTCATGCCACAATGGGTGGATCTCTACCTGTAACGACTACGGAGAGTTGAAGTTGCCATTACAGATGGAGCAACCCCTTCGTTACGGTGGACAAGTTCCAGCAACAGTAACAACTATGGTTTCTATATTCCCATGAACAATCTTTTAATATCACATCTTGAGAGTGATTACATCACTAAAGTGGGTTATTTTATTTATATCTCTAGACGTACGATAAACCTACGACCATTTTTAGTGTCAATACTCCGTAAAAATGTGTTATTTTATGACAGCTAAGACTACAACCTCAGGATTGGGTTCAATATATTCTTTATATCTTTATATGTATTTCTATTGTGATAAGAAGTAAAGTAATAAAGATAAGAAGAAGATGATATTCTTTGATACACTTAACAGAATTTGAATTCTTTGTTTATCGTGTTAATCTTCCTGTCAGATGATTAGAGAGTTTTAACTAGATCACGAATTAAAGTCATCTGAGTTTACCCAGTTGTGACAGTGATATATAATATAATTGTATTGTACGACTTATGCTTTGGCGAATAGACTCATATATGTATGTATGTGAACGTATGCATATTTCTCTCTCAGACCCTTAGTTTTATTAAAACCAATTATTACTTTGATTAAATTTGGCTTTTAATTTACCAAATTGCATCTTTAGGTATGAAATACACATTGCATAGTTACACAAGTTTTTGCTACGTCGGGCAATCCAATGCCATCCTTTTCAGTCGCCGAGAGAAACCCTTATTTTTAAGTATGCAAAAAATGTGTAACGAGGTCAGCGATTCACGAAACCATCATTAGTACACGTTCGCCGAGAACCCATTGCAACGCGTGTATTAAATACAACGCGCGTTTGGGATGTCGGTTAAAAAGTTCTTCTTAGATTACGGTATTGGGAAACGATTCCAAAGTTTATTGCTCTGGGGTTGATTTCCAATTTTCATCGAGTAATACCGTCAAGCCTAGCCCCGAAACTATGCCTAACTCTAAAACTAACCCTTAACCCAAACCAAACCTGTTCGCGAACCAAGCTCTGCTACATTAGTCTCACGGACGAAACCGACATCGAACCGAAATCAGACCGAACGAAATATAACGTTACCTAAATTTTGTCGGATTTTGATCGGTTATGAGTCGGTTTGGCGGTGTAACTATGGGATATCTGATAATAATAATAATGACAATAGTGGAGTCTTGTATAGCGCTCATGTCTGGCACATTGCCATTAATGGTGTTCAATTATTAACCACCTCATACCATTGAATTAATTAGCACCGGAGCAAGTGTCGCTCGAGCAAATTTTGGATCCCCACGACAGTTTTTGTTTACCTCAAGGACTCTCGCATAATGGTATTCATCAATCCAACTAATTTAATAACATGGACAATCCCACACGCTAAAAGTCACAGTTTATGAGAATTAGTGTCATTTAATAAATTGACAACCAAATCATTTCTCACCACCTATTGAAAAAGTATTATAGCGAGCGGGGATGTATAATATGAATTAATTTTCCATTAAGGAAACCTAGATAATTACCATATTAATCATCTATCAATATGTTTACGTCATTAATTACCATGATGATGAATGTAATATTTACTAGCGCATGAAAAAATGCACCCAAAATGAAAATTAATTTTTTTAAGTGCCTATTGATTCGATACATATCCCAACTTATCGATTTAAACAACCATCATTTCCAAATTAGATGAGTTAATTGGCTATACAAAATGTTGGTATTTAAATTAGGAAATGAAAATGCGTCTCATCAGCCTACGAAAACAAAATAATGAAGAAGATTTTTTTTTTAAATTTGTTCCAGTGTCGTTTTAAAAGAGGTGCCAAATAAAATTATCTTTTGGTACGCAACCCATTTTTCCCTCTCCCTTTGAATGACGATTTCTCAGTTACAATTCTTTCTTTTTTTCACCCTGCAGCTGCATTATGGTCGTTGCACACGAGGCGTCATTGCTATTTGCATTATTACTTGCGCTACCCAAGCTATAAAAACATTAGCCTAAGCACACGCTTATCCACACACGCTTAGCCATGTGCAATATTCATTTTGCTTTCACTTGTTTTACGATGCCACACTCCCTTAAACTGGTAAATGAGCCGTTGCACACGATGCGTTATCTGCCGACGTAAGACTCAGCGACTTGTGCCGTTGTTTTACACATGGGTATGGTATATGTGCCACACAGGGTTTATTAGCCCAGGTAATGACGCAATCGAATTGACGCCTCGTGTGCATTAGGCAGTACAAACTCACAGTCATATTCAGCATAAGCATAGGTTTGTTCTCCAGGGCAATAATCTTGATCTCCTGTGCATGTGATGCCACATGTGTTCCGTGTACTGGTACTACATAACAGTGCCCACAGTGTTGTCTGCAATACAATACATTGTCACGTATTAAAATTACGGAACAAGTTCAACCGGGGCCCCGTGACATAAAATTTGACTTATGATCAATCGTTTAAATCTTCAATCTTGCACTAATAAATTGTATCCGACCATGCATTGTTTCTATCTCTTACATACAATTAATTGTAAGGTGGTATATATATTTCTGTAATCCTATTACGCATGGATTGATAATAATAATAATAATAATAATAATAATAATAAGTTCTCACCGTGCTTAGGAAATGGTAAGAAACAAGTACCAACAAAAAGGTGGACCCAGCCATAAGATGACAATGAGAAATTGATTTCAGGTTGAAATAAGTTTTGTTTGATCATTTGGTTACAAAATTAGTGTACATTTTTCAGGATTAGCAGAGCACTCTATCAAACAGGTGACAAAACTTGATTATAATATGCATTTATGACTACCGGCCCTTGTGATTTACAATGAAGTCCAGAATGATTATTTTCGAAGTTTAAAAGCAATCCTGCCAAAAATCATGATTTTAATGATGAAAATGAGACCAAAAGGTAGTTATACCTTGAATGCGTTCAGTGCCCAAATGCATATTGGCGATAGTCAGGGTAATAATTGAACTATGTAAGCAGCTTCATACAAAAAAAAACTATGTAAGCAGCTTGAGCATCCTCTGGGATGGAGCTGTGGCAATATAGCTATATTTATGTCAATATTGCTGTTATCATTAAAATTGTCCGGATGTGTTTGTCCGGAAGGTAGCTATCGGAAGGTCGCTGTCCAGAGGCGGTTGTCCGATGGTAGCTGTCTCGAGCATTACTGTCCAGAGGCAGTTGTCCATAGGTGGTTCTTCAAAGGATAGTTGTCCAGATAGTAATTATTTAGAGCCTAGATGTTCAGAGGTAGATGTCTAGAGGTATAAAGTTGTCTAGATGTTGTTGTCTAGAGGTTGTTGTATAGAGCCTAGTTGTTCAAAGGTAGTTTTCAAGAGCCCACTTGTCCAAAGGGTAGGCCCTATTCGCTTGGAGGTAGTTGTCTGGAGGGTCGGCCCCATATTAACAAAACCTTTCATAGGCTATATGACAACTAGGCTCAGTAAGGCAAGCACTAGTGTCAGGAGGGAAGTTGTCCGTAAGTAAGATTGTAAGATTTGTATTGACTCTATGAGAGTATATGAGGAGTATGAGAGTGCAAACATATTTACATGGTATCAATATAACAATAGTATAACAATGATACACATGTGATAATATGAACGATGATATTATGATAATATGAACAAAGATAACGTGTGATAGTATGGACACTATTAAACATGTGATAATATGAGCAATAATAAACATGTGACAATATGAACAAATAAATATATTTACAAATCAAGGTAGTTGTTTGAACACGCCCTCACTCACCTGATCCGCTAACATACAGGATGCACCCAAAGACGTGTTAAAGGCATCACATGCTGTCACGCGCACACATATGCCTTCCTTTACGTCGATAGTGTAGTTAGGTAGGCAAGTCAACGAGAAATGTATGGTCAGTCTACCTTCTTCGCATTGTGTCAGGATAACAGGGTAGCCAGCTGAAAAAAGGAAAAAAGTTCTTTGCAAGGGCTGAGGAGTGCCCATATGGTTCCGAATAGTCTCATTTGACAACGCCCCATATCGTCGGAGTCAGCAGCCTAACATGTTAGCCTACTGACTTTTACACACAAAAAAAATCGTTAAAAACTCTTTTTTTTTTGTTTAAACGAAAAGCACATCCACCCCGACGTACGTTGGCACTAGCTCTTTCATTGGAACCCTCATGTCCCATTGACTGTTGAAAGTTCACCCACCGTAATTTGTTCAAAATAGGTCGCTAGCTCGCCATTGCCTATATAACACATGTGAAACAAGTCGAACTTTGGACGCAATTTGCCACGGGATTATAAGGTTATAGCTCAAGCATACGAAGGATAATAAGCAT